GTGTGTGTGTGTGTGTGTGTGCGTGTGTGTGTGTGTGTGTGTGTGTGTGTGTGTGTGTTTCAAAAAAAACTCATTCCATCCACAAATAGTCACAAACCATCTATCAAAAAAAAAAAAAAGTGTAGATGGGCAACATAGCAGGTGGCTTGAAAGGAAGATACCGTTCCCTTGTCGATCGCACCTCCCTGCCTAAATCGTGAGTCTCAAGATGCTGCTTCCTAAACTGGGCAGCATCCTCAGAGGCTAGCTCATGGGTCCATCAAAGTCACGAAGGTGAGATCCAAAGCCCCCCCCCCCCCCCCCTTTCATAGTAAGCTGGCAATACAACTTCACCCTGAAGTTGCAGTAGTATCTCTGCCCTCATCGCTTCCAGTAGAACATTGCGGACTCGGATTGTGGCTGGCCTTGCCCTACAAAGCTTTATCTAAATCATGTTGCTGTTCCCATCTAGCAAACCCCAGTTGGTTTCCACTGCAAGCGGTTGGTCCCTTCCAGTGGGCTACGACGTGCTCCGACACTCACAGCTATTAATTTCCAGCAAGCTACGACTTTCTCCATGTGGATAGCAGCCTCACCTCACTCCAGTCAGCTACGACTTCCTCTGAGGGATGGAGTGAGGCCACCCTCCAGCGATCTATGGCTTGCTTCCTGCAGATTCCAGGCTCCCTCCAGTAAACTATGACTGGGTCCCTACAAGCGGTGACCTTAAAGTTTATGGTTTACTCAAAAGCAGGTGGGCAGGTTACAGTGGTAGTGTTTATACTAGTTAGAGGCCGGTGGGAACAAAGGTGGAATCCAAGAAGGGGTGGGTAACATTTCACATGTGAATTCGTCAACCCTGCAAATGAATGACATTGAAGCTTGAACCATCTGCAGATGATGACAATGACACTAAAGGTATGCACTACAAAAGGAGGATGAGTTGAAGTACATCATGAATATAGGCACAAGTTGCCACCTGATTACATCATCTTAATTATTCCGTTCCTTCGTAGTTCACCTTGATGGATACCATGTCCTTGCACTTTGTTGTCTCATCATATCATCTTTTATTACTGTATTTTCCTCTGAGCAACATCTCTCTCATTTTTCAGATCAAGGAGGCTATCCGATATCCTACCGTCATCCCATGTGTACTTAAGCCCCTGCCTGCTTTTCATCAGCCTCTCCATTTCCTTATTGCTCACATATTCCGCTTTCAGGAAGTAGATCAAAGACGAAACTCATGACCTACGCATTAAGGACACTACACATTAAGGTAATTATGAGGACTAAAGAAGGAAAAAGAAACAACAAAACAATAATCTTTAACAACCTGAAACTTTCTCATACGAGAGGAAAGGGTTCATTAGAGGGAAGTTCATATATCCATTCACCACAAAGACTATTACACAGAACGGGGCACGAACCCGCCCATCGTAGTTTTGGAGAGAAAAAAATTGTCCATGCACGCTTGACGAAATAATATTGTATTGTCAAATGAAAACTCTCTGAGTCTTTGTGTTTGCTTAATAAATAGAAGCCTCACTTTGACAGGATTTAGGCACTAACCAATTGAACAATGCTCTTCAGTTTCAACTACATTCAAATAACACAGGAGGCATATTGTTAGTCAAACCCACACAGTCTCTTTCAAGTTTATTTTTCTCTCTCTCTTGCATATGAAAGGAATATATGCGCTAAGCGATACAAGAGGATGTCAAATCATTGGTGAACTGTTGTCAACTCATACTTGAAACAAATACAAAAAAATACCTCATGATTTTGTCAATATACATGCTACAAAAAAGTTTTCAAACAGTAAATTCGAAGTTAGTCGCTTTTGAATCGTTGTATTTTAATTGGAACGTTCTGCGAGGCTTATGCCCCGATGAGCCCCTTTCACTGCAGGCCCTGCCAAGCAGCACGTCGGCCGCCCTAAGTGAAGGCAGGCTCGACGAGGGCCTGAGAGCCCCTATTTCAGTCACCATGCAACTCAGGAAATTCAGGCAGTTGCGCAGCGCCAGTTGGTTGAATGAACCCACGCCCTGGGCAAGCCTGTTTGCATTAAGCAAAGACAGGCCCAGGGCTGGATACGGGAAGTGGGCCTAACACAGAGGCCGTTGACAGTTGGGCACGAGCAACCACTCCAGGCCCAGGGCCTGAGTTGTTTGGACTGGGCCTCAGCCTACTGGGGCCTACCGGAAGCTTCTTGGGAAAGGCCCAGCGCAGCCTGGGACAGAACGCAGGCAGGCCACTTCCATATAGCAAAGGGCCTGCCTCCACATTGGGCATTCGGGTGCTGGCTGCATGCTGCGTAAGCGCTGCTGCGCTAGAAGCTGGCCAGTGCTCACGCGCTCACGGGCGAGCTGGAAGGAGCAGGCAGCCATAGCCGAGCTGCGCTGCTGGTAGCTGGGTGTGGCGCAGGGTGGTCCTTGGGTGTGAGTGGCATCTGTGTGTTGAGGAACGAGGTTGTGAGTGATGCGAGAGACTTACCTGGTGCTGGAAGCGTGCAGCATTGGCCGCTATCTGCTCGTACTTCGGGGGAGCTGTTGTCGTCATCTTCAGCATTGTAGTCGTAGGCTAGATAGGATCTGCCATCTGTAGTCTGGGCGCCGAGCACCAGATAGGATATCGACATTGGTTCTCTGTTGATGATGATGAGACTATTCCAGCCTTGTCAATTATGAGCTTTTGCTGTGTTCTTATTTGGTGGGACTCGTAATGCAATTCTGCTTTTGGTTCGAGGTCACGACTATCTGGTCACTTGTGTATGATGCTGTTGATTTCTGAAGTTCGCTATTGCTCATCTTCCTTGCAAATTGGTATCGGAGCTGTGGTACGTTGAGCTCATCTGGCGCTTGTCTTCTGCCTTATGCGGTACATACATGTGGTCTGCTTGGTGAGTGGGCTGTAGGCGGTGCGTAGTGAGGAGGGTGGAGACAAGTGAGGCGACCCAGGAGGTGAGGGGATCGCCAGGAAGGCTACGGTGTGTATATTGGTGCTTGCTGCGCTCATAGAAGGGGTACTGAAGGGCAGGCCAGCCCTACGGGAGAGACGAGTACCGGGCGTCTATAAATAAACTCCGGCTGGGGAAACCATTGGTTGTGATTGTCGTCCTGCTGCGACGTAAAATAATTCCTGATGTCACTTGGGGGCGGACGTTAAATTGCCTCTTGATCAGCCAATGGTGTAAGGCTCGCTGCACGCGAGGGTAAACAAGGTGCAGGGCTGGCCAGCTCAGCAGCTACTCGTAGCACAGGGGTGGGCCGTGTGCACACCTTTAGTCACGCACGCCACCGGATCGCTCAGGGACGCTGACGTTAAGTGACAATCAAGTGGGATTGGGGGAAAGGGTAGATTCTAGGTGATAAGTTTGAGTAAGATGCCATGCTGTGAACAGACCCAACAAATAACATTATTTTTATTTTGATTAGTTAGATGTACAACCATTAACATCTGACAGACAGCATAGTTTAGAACAATTCATTGTTCATTGTGCTTCTGTTTGCGGACTAGTCAAAGAAGAGTAGTGTTATTTGTAGGAATCTGCATTTGCCTGTTGGACCCAAATGTATCTACTCCGAAATAGTCACCAACTAATTAGTTGTTTATTTTAAGTTGGTCTGGGCACTACGCTGTGGTAGGTACCTAGAGTAGCCTAGGGCAGATTGTGCTCAGTGCTGTAGCTTATGAGCGATAGGGAAGTACAGCAAGCGGACGACCGGATCTTGCGATGGGCAAGGCGCCCAATTGCCCACTTGGCATTAGGACCAGAGGGTAACAGATACCTGTTCAGACAGCTTAGGGAGAGGAGGCAGCAGCAGAGAGCTAGGGACGCAGAAGCCAGCAGAACTTTAGCAAGAGAGGCCGCTGCTTCAGTAGCCATGGCTAGCGCTGCACAGCAGTCCTCCCAGGGTGGGAGTTTAGGAACTGTAGGGTCAACTGCGGCGCAGACCCAGAGTCAGTCGGCTGGCGTAATGGCAAGCCAGTCAAACGTGTTGTCACCCGAGGAGATCTCCATACAGCAGGCTGCCCTGCAAGAGGCACAGGTACAAAAGGCTTTAGGAGAGATAAAGGCTGAGAAAAAGAGAATGATTAGGAGGGTAGCCAGGATGCAACGAAGAGAAGAGGACGTCAGGCAGTTAGAGGGAATGGACCTGACCAATATGGATGCGGATGTGAGGGTAGTACGGAGGGCCCTGCTAGGAGTAGTAGAGATGCAGGATCACCAGACTGCCATCCTCCAGGATATTCAGCAGAGTCTAGCCTGGCTGGTTGAACGACTGCAGGCAGCTCCATTACCGTGCGGGCCTGGTGCCTGGCTCGTGGCACATCCTCCTCTTTGTGTCCCACCGGTTACTGGGGTATCCCCATACGTAGCCCCATCATCAGTTGCTATCGTTTCCCTGGGCATTGTGCTGTCAGGAGGGTTGTCAGCAGGTCCTAGTGTTCAGATACCTGTACAATCAGTGATGTCCCAACCTCCGTCGCAAGTTGCCATCAGTGGGCAACCTGTTGTCTCGCAACCTGTGCAGCCGCAGGGGACACAGCCCCATCAGCAATAGGTGCAGCAGCCTGTTCCCCAGAGTCCACAACCAAGTGTGGGACAAGTGCAGGGACAAACGCAGTGGGTTCCAAAGACGGCAATAGCCGCTCCCAAACCCTTTTTAGGGGATAAGAGGGGCGAAGACCTCGACACGTGGTTGAGGGGCTGTG